CGACCTGCTGCTATTTTCGTTCATTTGGTCGTGTTGCTCCGCCTTCCGCCGTTAATCTAGTTCCCCGGCGCCGTTGAACGGGGCGGCGTGGCTGCTAGCAGTTGACCTATTGTATCCGTATTGTAGAGGCCGAGGTGTGCTGAAAGTACGAGAAGATCGGCAGCTGAGCCGAATACAACGAGACACTTGTTAGAGTCTTTACCTGCTCCGTATCTTCGATTCCCATCTTCATGTCCTTCTTCAGCCCTACCTCTGCTGGTCAACCGCCTGACGTTAGTTGGGGGGCTGATCCGAGAGACTCCTGACTCGAAGCCATAGTTCATCCCGTTTGTGCACGACCTAAATTAGGTAGTTAATTACACTTGTATGCGTTCTATGGCAGCCCCTGTCATGCGTCTGCTCACTCTGTTAACCTTTACAGCCCATTTATTTGGCTCTTCCCAGGCCCAACGCCCCGAGCAAGGCAATTAATTCATCAGCGAGTGCGAGTGCAACCTACCAAATTCTCGGTACACGATGATCACTGATTGAATGTCTCTGAGGCCGTGCGGCTTCTTAACGTTCTTTGAATGAGATTCCCTTCACTTAGTCTGGTATTAGACCTTTATGTACACCAAACTTGAACATCTTCACTGTGTCTTCACAACAACCTCAACCCCCTCAAGACCCGCACCGGAAGCCGTGACGGTGATATCTCCAGCAACACCCTCCTCAGACCTCACAATAGCCAACACAAGACCGCTGTACGCCTTGCGGACCAACGACGGGAACGCAACCAAGTCCGCCGGGTCACCGTTGTCAGTCGCAACAATCTCACCAGGTCCGCTCACGGAAAAGGTAATCTCGTCGTCCGCGAACCTCACCACATCGCCATTCGCATCCAACACCTCGACAGTAACAAACGACAAGTCCACGCCGTCGGCCTTGATCGTCGTACGGTCCGCAGACCCGCGAAGCTTCGCCGACGCCCCGACCGTTCGCACCGTCGTCTCGGCCCACTCCGCGCCGTCTTTATACGTCGCGACCCGGATCTCACCGGGCTCATACACGACATCGTCCCATCGGAACCGGTACGTCAGCTCCGCGCGCGTCTGCCTACCCTGCGAGACCCCGTTTACAAACAACTCGGCCTCGTCCGCCGACGTGAAAACATGCACGGGGGTGACCTCGCCGACGCGGTCCTCAGGCCAGTTCCAGTGCGGCAGCACATGCGCAAACTTGACATCAGGCCTCCAGCGCGCCTGATACAGGAAGAAGCGGTCCTTCTTGAAGCCCGCGAGATCGATGATGCCCGAGTAGGAACTGCGCGCCGTGTAGTAAGGCGTCGGCTCGCCGAGGTAATCCCAGCCCGTCCAGACGAACTCGCCCGCGACGAAGGGGTGCGTGTCCTGCGCCTTGAAGACCTTGTCGGGCGAGGAACCAAAGTTGGCAGAATAGAGCTCGTACGCGCTGACCTGCTGCGAGGTGGAGTTGCCTCCAGAGGTGTCGTTGACGGGGGCGCCCGTGTCGCCCGTGACGGGGAACATGTAGGTCCCGCGCGTGCTCAGCGCCGAGGCCGTCTCGCTGCTGAGGATCATCTTGTCCGGGAAGGCCTCGTGGAAGTCGGCGTACAAGGGGTGTGTTCTCACGCCTGGGAGGAAGGAGTAGTTTGGTGTGTCGCGGATGCCTTCGCCCTGGTAGTTTAAGCTGAGGACGTCCATGGCGGTAGGGAAGGACATGTTTGGCTTGGCAAAGTTCATCGACGCTGTCGAGGGCCGGGTGGGATCTTCCTCGCCCACGATGCCGTGCAGCTCGAGCGCGGGGACGGTGCCAGGCTCGCCAATCTGCTGCTCCGAAACCTCGTTGCCGAAACTCCACATGATGACGGAGGCGTGGTTGCGATCGCGGCGCATCATTGCGCGCAGGTCTGCCTCGTGCCAGTCCTCGAAGATGAGGTGGAAGTCATTTGCCGTCTTGTTGCGGTACCACGAGTCAAACACCTCATCCATGACCAGGAACCCGCGACTGTCTGTCAATTCGAGCAGTTCGGGCGCGGGAGGGTTGTGAGACATGCGAATGGCGTTGCAGCCGAGTTCCTCGAGGACCTCGAGCTGGCGCTCGGCGGCACGGGTGTTGAAGGCTGCGCCGATGGCGCCGAGGTCGTGGTGGTTGTTCACGCCCTGAATGAGGACGTGTTCGCCGTTGACGAGGAGGCCGCGGTTCGCGTCGTAGGTTACGGTGCGGATGCCGAAGCGAGTTTCGTAGGTATCGACGACGGCGCCGGCGACGGTGACTGTCGTGACGGCGACGTAGCGGTTCGGTTTCTGGGTCGGTGGTGGGCCCCAGAGGAGGGGGGATGTGACGGTCGTTGAGCCATTGACTTGTGCTTTACTGCCAGCCGTGACAGAGGTTGATGAGCTGGAGAACTCGGCTACCTTGGCTCCCGGCTTGTCTGTCGAAGCGTCGAGGAGGTGGATTTCGGTGGAGACTTCGACATCCTGGTCGGAATCGCCCTTGTTCTCGACATCAACTACCAAGTCCACGGTAGCAGACTCGGAGGAGACGTCCTTTGTGACGATGTAGGTTCCCCATTGCGCGACGTGGACCGGGCTGACCTTTGTCAACCACACGTTGCGGTAGATGCCACCTCCAGGGTACCAGCGTGCCGAGTCTGGAGGGTTGTCCAGTCGGATGGCGAGAACGTTGTCTTGTCCAGTCTTGAGGTGCGCCGTGAGATCGAGGCGGAACGAGTTGTACGGGTAAGGCCAGCCACCGATCAGGTAGCCATTGAGCCACACCATCGCGTAGGACATGGCTCCATCCACATCGAGGAAGATGGACTTGCCCTCATCCTCAGGGGTGACCGTCAATGATCTACGGTACCAGCCCACGCCATGCACAGGCAAGCGGCCCATTCCACCACCAATGATGGGATTCTCCTCGGTATAGAACGGGCCTGCGATAGCCCAATCGTGAGGCAGATTGACACTCTCCCACGAAGCATCGTCAAAGCTCGCTGATGCATACGAGACATTGCGCGAGGGCTCGCTACCGGGGCGCTCGTAGTGCTTAGCCGGGTCGTTGATGAAGTCGTTGGCAGACGGCAGGATCCACGGCTTGAGCGCAAAGGTGTCGGTCAAGTTCACGAGGTCCGGGCGCTGATCGTAGATGAGGCCGTCCGGGTTGAACTCTGAGCGCCAGAAGCGCCATCCCTTGTTGATGCTCACGCGCTCGCGTCCGCCAGTGGTCGGCGTGGACGAGTTCTGTCGCGGCTGGATGGTGAGGGCATTCGCGGGGCTGAGGATGAGCAGCAGCAGGCTCAAGAGAGTCAGCCCGAAGGCTCGCGTCGGCAACGAGGACCGTCGTGAAGTCGTCATCATCTTGAGAGGTGATTTTGAAGTGACTGTGACCTTACGATACGACCATGACGCGCCTTACCTTGGAGTCTTATATGGCGGGCCATGATGTGGTCTTCAACGTTTGTATCCCATCGGCCAAGCTAGGAAACTTTTCCTTGACGTATTTCCGCCCCATTATTCGGCGACGGATTCCTAAAAGACTCCACGAAGAGACCGCGAAACCCTCGCACCGGTCCATCGTCCCTCGGCTTTCCTTGACTATTGTTGATGGGGAATCACCGAACCATGGGGTCCAATTTCGGGTGAAAAGCCTCCAGGGCCTCCGCACCCCGCGTTTCTCCGCACGGTAGTACGACGGTACAGGGGTCCGGGGCGCTCATCGACGGCAATTCCACGATGCATTTAGCCTGAATTTCTGCTTGGATGTGGTCATTGGGCCGCCTGTGACCGCTAGGAGGGGGCCGAGGGGGAATATTTCTTGGAGTTGGCTGATCCCCTAGGCAAAAGTTAGTTAAGAAGCTTATGGGGAGTTGGGGATCGCCTCTGGAGTCAGTGTTAAATCCCCCACCTTCCGGTCATGACAGAGTCATGGCATTCTTGCGTGCTGATATTGCCGGTAGAGCATTTCCTCGCGTGATATGAGGAAGGATTTATGTTCCCACCTTGTTGGTTCGATGGAGCAACAAACTAAGGTGGAGCAACATGCAATGCTAAGCACTCAATACATCCTTACAGTGTGCGGTAATGCGTAGAGACATGGACTATTGCTAGACGCTTATCCGCAGCTTCAGCTCCCTCTCGTGCCAACAGCATATGAGTCTATACGATTCTATCAAGTTGTTGTGATGGCATCGTCTCATCTATTTCGTGGGCGCACACATTGTTTCTCTGCAGATACGAGATACCAGAAGTAGGGGATTATGCACGTTATTCAGGGCACCTAGACCTGTCCCAAAATCTCACATCATGCACATGTAACATCGACTGAAGTTTATCATCAGGCTCCATCCTGACCTCAATCGTGATGAACGTCAGACTGCATTAACCTGTGCATCAAGTGCCCCATTCTCGTCATTTTCAATGTTTGACTCGGAGCGTCGCGAGATTTTGGAGCGGAAAGACCGGTCACAATGGTCTCCAGGAGATGGACACCTCGCGTACTTGGAAGCGTGGGAGGACGGTATGATCTCAACTTCCTCTTTGCGCCACGCTGAAGAGCAGATACCATGCTGATTAGAAACTATTCGAAAGGCGATTTTGAAGAGGTGCCCATTCTTGCTGGGCCTCTGGAAGATTTCGAAGTTGATGATTGGCTTCGTCAAAGGGGCAAATTTTCACCCGCAGGTCGACAGTCCCGTCCAAGGGCACAAGTCCGTATACTGCTATGCGAACGTTTAGGATTTCGACCTCTGGAGTTCGCTATGAGCCGTAAATCTTTTCTTTCGGTCGAACACGTTATTGGGCTGCCCTCTGTGTCTCTACCGATATTGGAGGGGAACACAGGAACCCAACACGCTCATCTGAAATACAAAAAAGACTTGAGCGGTCGGTCGTTAACCTCGCTCGAGGCATTAGGTACGGGCAATGTAACAACATTTCTAGTACATGCGAGTGATCAATTGATAACGTACTGCTCCAGTCCTAACAATAAAGCAGCCTCAGATGTTCCAGCTTGGAAATCTAGGCATGGCAATGTCCCACCATTTTACGACCCGCACAACTCTTGCCTTCATTCACGGCTGGGACATCTTCTCCAACAAGTTAAAATTCACCAAGAAACCAATTGCACCTCACATTGAAGCTATTCAGGAGATACTCAAGTCATCACGGAGACTCCTGTCTCATCCCCTACTTCTCCCCACCTTGTTCCTCCGACGGCATTTGACCAGGGCAGAGGACATGAGAAGGCAGCTGAGCTCCATGACAGCGGAAATTGAAAAGGCTATCGGGGTTACCCAGACAGCTCGGCTTTCCGGGAGAACCGTCCAGGATCAACGCATTGTGGAAGAAGTGAAGGCTATGGTCTTGGGCGAGAAGCCGAGGATTCACACGACCGCACGGATTAGCACCACGGCCACTGATGTAATCAATATGAAGGGGACTCTCGAGTGGGACGAAGAATACGTCAAATTTCTCCGCCGTGTCAATGACGATGTCAAGGCTCACCCTCGCGAGGCGCATACGCCCCCGGAGGCAGATCTGCAGCTATGCGGCTTCATCGATCTTCTGGAGCGAGATGCGCAGTCTATCTCATCATATGCAACCAGGATGCAGTCCAGGCTGGAACTTCAATTCAACGTGGTAAGGAATTTTCGAAAGACATCGATGCAGTGAGGATCAAGAGTGAAGTCATCCATCATCGCTAACGTTTGACGCACGTCAGCTCTACAATCTCATCGCCCAAGCCGGGAATAGCCTCAATATGCAGCAATCAACACAAGCCGGGCAAGTCGCAGCGCAGGCCGGAATGGACAGCACAGCTATGAAGACAATGGCAGTGGTGACGATGATATTCCTTCCTCCAACCTTTGTAGCCGTAAGTCTTACCGCCTCATTGGATTGCCTTTAGTCTTGCTTGAGGTGCCCAGCACTGCTGGCATATATTCACCAAGCATCGCTGACCAGTTTTCTCGACAGACAATTTTTAGCATGTCCTTTTTCAACTGGCAAGCTTCATCGTCAAGCGGCGATGACGGCGGTGCCGAGCCCACCGTCGTGCCACAGTTTTGGATCTACTGGGCCGTCAGCTTGCCCTTGACCATCGCCATCGTGATTGGCTGGCGAGTGTGGTGGTATTTTCAGAAGGCTTATTATGAGACCAAGTTTCTGACACCAGAGGAGCACGTAGTCTATGAAGATAGAAGCCGTGGCAAGAGCCGTGATAGGAGCCGTGAGAGGAGCCGCGACAGGACTCATGACCCGAGGCGACGGCGGTCACGATATCAAGTATGACGATTCATATTTGCTATTTGGGCACTTGGAGGAATGTGCTTTCTTATTTAAGTATTTTTCCCCCTATAGTTGGAAGCGCGCATTCGTATTCGTATAATCCGTTGAGTCACGCTTAACACTCTTATGTTTGGGTGGCAGAAGCACTTGGCACCCATGGCGTGCTCTCAAGCACACTATATCTGAGATACGCCCGATACGCTGGATTGGTTTCTGCTGTGCCCTATGATCATCGGCGATATCTTTACGATTTCGTTACAGGATTTGATAAATTTGAATAGTAAAATATTCCCCAGCTTTTCTTTGAAAGTTAATTGCCTACTAGCTTCTGAGATCCGGCTTGAATCCTCTCCACATCGGCCTCGGCTTGCTTGTACTTACAGTTTGACCGAGACCATCTGCCAATGTGGGGCCCATCCAACGTCGATACCGGGGACCGGATCGAGAGCCGAGTTGAGTCACGTACCAAAGTTCCTTCTGTAGATAGCAAATACACATATAACATGGCCAGTTTTCTCTCAGCCTAGCTGAGTTTTCAGGACTCATACCATACTTTATTCGTCGTCTTTCGTGGAATTCCAAAAGATAACGAATGCCCTACTGTGGGACTTGTCATTCGAAAGGCGCAACTCCAAGCAATTTACACAATCTACCCACGCGCTCCGCCAATAACATCATTCCGATATACACGCCTCAACCATGGCCTCACCCAGCACCGAAATGCGTGATCGCCGCTGGACGAGAGACTCGTACCTCATCTCGACAGATGCATCTCTCGTCTCCGTCACCCAACTCAACGCTGCATTCGCGTCGGAAGCCGTCTACTGGACCAAAGCCATACCAGAGTCCTTCGTGAGAGAAATGCTGGAAAACTCACTCTGCTTCGGCCTCTACGACACCACCACTTCTCAAAAAGAATCCAGCGGCAGCAGCGGCACCGAGATGAAGGAGTACCATCAATTAATCGGTTTCGCGCGTGTCGTCACCGACTTTGTATCCTTTGCCTACACCACGGACGTGTGGGTTGACCCCACGCTCCAAGGCAAAGGCCTGGGAAGATGGCTCGTGGGATGCGTGCAGGAGGTGCTCGAGCCGATGCCGTACCTGAGGAAGAGCGTATTGGCTACGGATAGCTGGGACAAGTCTGTGCCATTTTATGAGAAGATGATGAAGATGAGCGTGATTGGCGGGCAGCCGGGAGGCCAGGCGATCATGCAGATGAAGGGGAAGGGGGCGCCTGGGTACACTGAAAAGACCGACTAAAGGTTCACTACTACAAGTTATAGACATTTGTATCCGGAGTTAGATCTATCTACATGTACGCGCCGAGTACCTATCTAGAAGGATAAGCTAGACGAGATCTCTGCGTAAGAACACCGTTCTTCGAATGAGCAAGTTGCCATCCGGATCCTTTTCTGGGAACCCGTAAAAGTTGTTGATGGTGTGGATCAGTTTATATCCTCTCCTTTCATACCATGCATGCGTCGGCGTCTACGTGAAACCATGATGTCAGTCGTCTACAACTCGTAACGATATTAAAGAAAGCAGAGTCAACTCACCGGCGGAAGTTTTCCCTGCGCCACAACCATGGACTCCTTTCTCAACTGGTCCTCCTTAGAGACCGTATCCAACATGAGCGTCCTTGCGCAGAGCGGCTCACTGGTGGCCATGCTCTCGACCAAGTCCATGGCGGCCCTGGCGATACCGCAACTCTGCAGTGCGAATGAAACGTAGAGGCTCTTGATCCAGTAGACGTTTTCCTTGGGGATCGGGAGATTGAGGGGCGCCGCGGCGGGGTTGTCGATGTCGAGAGAGATGTGACCGACAGGGTGGAAGGACGCGCCTGTTGGGGTTCGCGGGGTTGCGCTGATAGATACTGCTGTGTCTAGAATGGGATTCTTCTCCTGTGGGACGAATGTGAGCATTGACACACGCACGAGAGAAGGTTTAATGGGATTGGGATTGAACCGACTTTGGGGTATTCGGCGATGTGCTTTGCCAGCCTTGCTTCTCGGTCAGGATCCTCGTCTGCAAGTACCTGTGAGCGCGGTCAGTGAATGCACTGATGTGAAGGATGACGTTCAATATGGGGATTAAGGAGAGATGCGCCAGTCTCAATGAATCGCTGTGTTTGGCGATTCGAATAGCATCTCCTTTGTGAAAGCAAAAACTTACAAGCCAGTAGATGCACTTGAATCCGGTTCGTTGGTTCTCCTGCCATTGCGGCACTAGGTCCGAGGCCCAGCCGCATGCTATTCTCTGATCTATCATTCTTGTGACGTGGTCTGGGGACTTGGGATCCCAAGGGATCAATTCAACTTTGGCTCTTGACATTGTGCTGACACTACCTCTTGCGCGCCCAATCAAAGTGGTGAAATGTCTTTTTGAATCCTTAGTCAAAGCCCGGTAGGAAGAACACAGGGATTACTGTCGGTTTGAATGAGAGGATTGGGGTTCAGCTTTAAGTTAAGAAAGTGCACTTTGAAGGAATGTCGTGACGGTGAGTCATTAAGTAGTAAAATGTAGCCTAATTCCTCCCGGATTGTCAGACTCTCGCTCTCTGAAGATTATGTTCGGTTGGAGCCGGTCGGCGGGTCTGGAGAACACCTAACTCACTCGGCCGGCTTCTTGGAACTTTCTTCGGCTTCGGTCATTAGAGACGGGGAACCAGGGAAGGATACTCGAGCCGACGCGTTACATTAGCGTTTGTGGGGCGCTCAATGACACCATCATCCCACGCGGGTTATGGGTGGACGGAGTAGAGAAAGACCGTGAGAAACAGCTCAACAGTACGCGTCGGGCGCTCGTAAATCGTTTTGGGATGGCCCTCAAGGCAGTCAGTTGGGCAGTGTAGCACTCAGATCGAGGGGTAAACTGGTTGGCTGCTCGCACCTAGGGGCTGAAAGTATCTTCATGCAGGACAATGTCACTGGTGCTTACATGTATCAACGAACCCTTGCTTTCTTAACGATTGACTTCATGTCAAGAAATTTGAAGATGCTTGTTAAGATGTGATTGATTATCTTGTAGGATCCATGTCGCTCCCCAATAAACAAAGTAGCCACGATTAAACGCCCCCTTCCATTCTATCCGGTCATGCAAATGTTATGCTAAAGTCTACTATGAAGGCATCACCCACGACCCGTTCGAGAACCAGGTCCCGGCCTGTGTATAGTCTAGCGTCACACCGTCCTTCATGTACGCAAATCTAAAATACTCGGGAAGCACCATCTTGGCCTTCCTCAACCACACAAACTCGTTGTCGACGGGGCCATCGGCAAAATAATACCGGAACCGCTCGACGTCGTTGACTAGAACGCTGATACCGTCGAACTCGTTGGCAATATTTGGCGGTACGAGCCAGCTGAAGGTCACACTGGGCTCAAAGGAGCCCGTGGAGAAGATTGGTTTCGCAATTTGCGGGAGCAGCGAGTTGAAGGGGCCGTCCTCGCGCAACTCATCGGGCGTCTGAAGAACCGAGTCGAAGCCCCATCGCGCGATGCCGTTGACGAAGAGGCCCAGCAGCATCCCCTGGTAGAACAGAGACGTCCGCGTCTGCATGCTGGTACCAGGGAGCAGACAGAATGCCATGATGTAATGGTGCACGCGGAGGTCCACGCCCGGAATTGAGACGCCGACAATGACGGCAGCCAGGAAAAGCGCATAGAGCGCAAGAAACCGAGGTAATCTCCCCTCGAGCCAGAAGAAGTAGACCTGCTTGGCCATCACAAAGGTCAGGATGATCAAGATGAGAGCCAGCGCGGGCTTGGCGCCAGGCTGGTGCTCAATGTCGTGTGCCGTGAGGCGCTGGATCGGCATCCATCCAAATGTATAGTTCGACAGCGCGCCGAACCAGAACCCTCCCAACCAGAGCGCCGTCTTCTCGAACTGGGCCCTCACATCTGTGAGTGTTCGTCTGACACAGAGTCGGTAGAGCACGGCGGCGCAGAAGAGTGCAGGAAGCAGACGGCCGGTGAACTTGGAGATACGATCCGGCAGGACGGAGGCAGCGTGCCGCGATGCTGTGGGCGGATCGGAGCCGAAGCTGACATGGGCAAAGATGCCGACAAAGGAGACGAAGAACTGCCACGCCGGGCTCGTCGTGAAGAGGGAGAAGATGGAGGTGAAGAACATGGATGTCGGTAGGAGAGCCTGGCGGGGGTCACGCTTGCCGCACTGAAGGGACGGGTCCGAAGTGAGGTTGTACGACAGCGGGAAGTACGAGTCAAACGGAACGGTCTCGACGCCGTTCTTAGTCGTGCTATTGAACCCTGCGTGCTGGCCGACGCGATGAAGACGGCCGCAGCCTCCGCTCAGGTCCGTCACGATGCCTGCGTGGATCGCTGAAGCGCAAATCATGGAGTCGCCGCGGTAGATCTCGTCGCCTACGACCAGCGGCTGGTAGACGATCTCCCGGTCACCGACGGCGTGGGGGTTCAACAACTTGTGAGCAATGCAGTTTGCCGGACACCTGAAAGAAAACGAAGAGTTCATGAAGGGCCTGCAGTCGGCACCGTCAAGTCCGCACCCATTCTTGAAGCGCCAAAGGGTGTCGCCGCAGTCCAGGTTAATGACTTCCCTACCGAGCCCATCCCTGATCGCCCGGGACGACGCGAGTGGAATGGAAAAGGCGACGGCCCACAGCGCCAGGAACACGGCAACGACGACGGCCTTTCGGCGCGGCGTCGGCGCCACGAGGTCCAGCAGACGCGGCGGCGCTTCCTGGACGGCGGGCAGGACGGGCCGGATGGTATGTACGCGCGGCGGTTGAGGTCCGGCGAGGCAGTGCCGCTTGTGGGGGACGTGAGGGCCGAACTTTTGCTGCGAGAGCAGCGAGGGCGTGCTGGATGTGCTCTCCTCGAGCTCGTAGCCTTCTTCTCCTTCAGCTAGGAACTGGGCCTCCTCGTCAGCGCTCCGGCGCAACGACGCGTCATAGTCGTCGTCCATGTCCTTGAATGGGCGGTCCCCGACGCGGGAACCATCGCCGGCGCCCATTCTGTCTTCAACCTTCACCAATCCCTCACTTGGCCCTCTCGCCTCGTCTGTCTCTCGCACACCTCCCAGGGCGTGTTGTCTCTCAGATTAGGCGTTCACAGAGTCAGTCTATGAGTACATATGAGTACGTATGTGCGATTGACTGAGTGAATAATGTAAAGGGTCTGAATTGAAAATCGACCAAAAGTTGCTGACAGATGACGTGTGGAAAAGCAAGGCTGTGTCTTTTCCCTCTCAGCTCTCAGGGGGTGGGAAGATCCCGAACAGGCAGCAAAGAAACAAAGGAAGACAAAGTGACGGCCGGCGCTTAACGGAGGCGACGTGGTCGAACTTTAGACTTTCAAGAGCCACAAAGAGGATAAGGCCGCCATCAACGAACGCCTCCCAAAAGCCTCAAAAGGAGCTCCGTCAAGGGTGGAAATTAGTACGGTGATCGGAAGGATCGGAGGGGCGCGCTACGCTCAGGAGGGGGAGCCGCCGTGTTTGCTGTCTGCCCAAATGCCACGCTTCTCGAGTCCCTTGCCCTCGCTCTACCGCTCTTCCAGTCCTTTGCCTCCTCTGTGACACGAGCGTCAAAGCTTCTTTTTCTCTTAAGGGAGACGAGACGCCAAACTGAGACAAATAGTGGAGATGTTTCCAGGGATCTGCTGCGGTTAATCGGCGCCGTCGGGGTGCGCTTCCTTTCGCTCCCCTGCTGCCATGTTTTTGTCTGGACCACTGGGATTCCATCCTTTGTTAAGCGAACGACTGTCAACTCCTAGACTCTTTTGACTGATTCACAAGACTCTTGAAGAATCCAAGATGACTCTCAAGTCTTCAAAGGACAGGAGGAGAGAGCCTTGCAATCGTTTTCGGTTGGATATTCCGAAGCCAGCGACCTGAATCTGGCTTACTCAATCTGAAACTAACAAGGGGCGCCTTGGCCAGGGTCTCACAGGGCAAATTTTAGCTCAAGATGAGACTAATATAGCTATCGATACGAATCGGCGGTGAGTCGGGGTGAAGAAATCAAATCAAAGCAAAGCAAACGAGGGCAAATCTCGGCCTGAGAACCCAAACGTCGCCCTCATCTTGGGAACTTTCAGAGTGACACTAACCGCGAATGTGAATACTGAGCCTCACTTCAGCGGCTGAAGAAGCCTCAAACCAAAAGAACGGATGGCCCCGAGGCACCAACGGAGCGTCGCTACCATGGCTTCTAGCGTGCGGTCCAGCAAAGTCAAATCTCCAAATGACATCAATTGACTTTGAATCTGCATCATAATTTTTATGAGTAGCAGAATCACTTACCTACCACAGTAGTCGACGAGAAGATTGGCATAATGCAGTACTTACACAGTCATTCCTAAGAGTTGGGACACTTTCACATGGTCACGGGTACACATCCCGCGTCTCTGGAAGATATTAATGTGACAGTCCTCTCAGTTCCAGTGCGTTTAGCTAATGCTGCTTCCCAATTATGGCATCAGAAATCGAGGGGTTTGGTCGACTGCCTCTACGAGGCGACGTAGCAGCTAGCCCTAGGGACTCATGTCCTAATACATTCTGTCGCGCGCTCAACTTAATTACTAATATTCATCCGGTCGAAGGACCATGTTCCCGATAATACCTCGTCCACAACTCTGCTCAGATGTCACAAGTATACTCCATCGTCAGATCAACCCGGGGAACACCCTCAAACCCAGCAGGAACCGCGTAAGACACGTTGTAATACCAGTGGTTTCTCAATTGCTGCCCATAGGAAATCGGCAGCTTGTCCAACCCTGGGGCCGAAACATTGACGCTCAGACACGGCAGCTCTTCCAATCCGGTAATCGTCTTCCCGCCCAGCGTCCACGAAGGCGGAATCCCGGATAGCGCAAACGTGAAAATATCAGACCCTTCCTGCGTGCTGTTCGGATATGACACGCTGAGTGACCTCTCGCCCGCCACGGCCGAAATGGTCGATGCCGAAGGGTACAGCAGGAAGAAGCCGATGTACGGGTACGGCGTGTGCAACGGGTCCGAAGCCCAGTGCACGATCGCCGGCACGAACTGATCCCCGCGGTTCTTGGTCTCCGCAAGCTCCTGTCCACCGATCATGAGTGGCGCGCTAACCCACGACGTCGTCGTGCGCGTGGCGTCCGAATCCAGTTTCTCCTTGACCTCGCGCGTGATGCTGCGCTCGCCGGCCCAGGGGCCCTTCGCCTTGAGCGCCGCCGCTGTGCTGTTGGAGATGTGCCGGGTCACTGTGTCAGAAACCAGCGCAATCGCCGCGCCCTGAGCTGCATCGAACAGCAAATCGCCCTCGCCCTTGGGCGGCTGAGGCCCGTACTCGCGCCCGAAGACGGCCCACCAGTACATGGGCAGAATGGATGAGTGCTTGGTCATGTCGCGGGTGTAAGCGCGGTCATAAGGGCCGACGAGGTTGCCCAGGTAGGGGTTGTAGTGCGCTGCAATGTCATCCCACAGCTTCGTCAGAATGTACTCGGCGTTCTTCGTCAGTGTTGCGTTGCGGGGACCATAGGCGATGTTGGCGGCTAGAGCCCAGACGTCCATGCCGTAGTAGTTTGGCGCATTGTACTCCCCAAGGGTATTTGAGCCGTTAGACTTGAAGAGCTCAAGCAGCTGGGACCCTTGAGTGTTTGCGAAGTTGATAAAGGTTGCGTTGCTGCGACGGGCGCCGATCCAGCCTACTGTAAGGGCACGCATGAGGCCCGGGTTGGAGTATCCCAGTATGAGGTTATCGCCTTCGGGGTAGCTACCGTTGCGCCTCATTGCGCCAATGGCTTGGATCTCGAGCGCATCTTCAATTTTCTTGACGAGGTCTGCGCCCAGGAGATCAGAGTAAAGTTCGACGTCTTGTACTAGTTGAGTCCTGGATCATGTTAGTATCATTGGATCCTTGTTCGTCCTCGAACCCTTCCAAATGCCATGATGTTGGACTCCTTCAATGTTTCCGAAGACTCACCCTATAAATTCTCTCCAATTTGGGTCGTAAGTAGTCTAGATCTGTGGTCAGCGGACTGCGTCTGGGTTTGCAACCACCGCTTTTGCACTTAGATTGTGCTCACATAGATCTTGGGAGGGTACAGCTCGGAATCCGGCGTTGGGTCCGGCTCGTCGGGCGATAGCTTGAAAGTGCCATACCACGCCGATTCGTAGTCCGAGGTCATCTGGCTCGCCAAACTGCATCGTAGTCCACAAATTAGCACTCTCAACCACTCTTAAACTCTTCATCCAACCGACTGACATGTTCTCAATCGCCGCCTTTGCGTTCTCCACGTCGTCGCCCTCATTGCGATGGAGCAGACCCGCCGTGTACCAAGCCGTGAAGCGGACGGACCACGGACCCTTGTCTTGGTACCAAATAAGGTTGTACGAGTCGTCCCATCTGGAGTCCTGGACCCCCATAGAGAAGTCGAATAGACTTTGGGCATCTAACAGTAGTGTAAGTCAATCTGGACTACCTACTTGATATCCTAGATTTCTTCTATGTCTCTGGCGTTTACTTACTTGCGGAAAGCTTTGGCTTGCTGGCCGCGGCGGACCCTAGCGTTGCGCCAGAGGCCACAAGCGAAGCGACAGCTAACTTGAGATGCATGCTGCTTGTAGGAATGCGATGAGAAGTACGGAGCAAAGCCGGGAAACACTTTCCAACCTGACGTATCCATCTCCCTGCCGTCTCATGCCAGCTACTATATACCGAAAGTGACCCTCAGCGATCACATAGTGGATATCACAGCAAGTCCATAAGGGAATTGATCAATTATTCCGTTCACACGCGAGCACCTAGCCGGGGTAGATCACCACTCATCAAGAAACACCATCATCAACCCCTCACGCCAACCTCACTCAGGCTTCCTCGACCGAACTGCTCCTAGCCTCCCTGGCCTCTCTACAGGTCCACCAATCACAGATACCATTTTCAGCTCTACAAACCCCGGTCCGAACCGGGCCGGAACCGGTGGACCATCACCGTACCCCGGGCGAGGTTACATACCCCAACTTTGGTCTTAGTGAGCTGCGCTTGTGCGGAGTCTAGGTAAACGGGTTTGCGGGGTGAGATCCAAGAACCACGCGTTGGTCTCGGGAATGGCACCATAAGAGAGCCGGGGATAAACGTCGGGAAGATCATAGAGGCTGCTGGGGCAAACCCGATATCCAGTGCTTGTATAGCTGCGTGATTCGATAGTGAAGGACCTAGTCTCCGAGGGGATGGTACAGCCTCCACTTCTACAGAGGTCATGTTACCAGCGGCATATCTGTTGTCGCTCCTGATTCGGACGCATTTCGCCCGAGTATCTCGCCAGTGGCTGATAGGCGCAGCCTACTCGAGCCCATGGATCCTTTGAGAAAACCCCGCCGGTATCTCCTGATCTCCCCTCGGGAGCTCCTATCGGCAGGCTGAGGTTTACACGACCCCAACAATCTCTACTCTGTGAAATGTCCTACGTGACTCCGGCCCGGAGGTTGGCCGGACATAGTAACATCGAGCCTGCTATCGGGAGCCGAGTGGGATACGAACGGATCGGGCCTGGCTTGTTATTATCTCGGAGCTCGTAGCATAATAACGACACCGTATCCCCCGTCCCTACGGGATTCTGCCATGTTGAGTGTCTTCGGATTGATAGGCAATGTCTCGTTCTTCGACCGCAGCAATGTCGCAAAACGCTGCCGCAAAAACTGAGCCGGCCGGCGGTATCCCCGTTACTGTTGACGCTGCTATCGCGAACAAAAGAGGGGCATTCGCTTGGTTCTCAAATGCGGGAATCGTCAAGCTCAACTGTGTCATCGCGCTTTCATTGGTATCGAGCTACGCAACCGGCTACGATGGCTCAATGATGAATGGCCTCCAGTCTCTGGACACATGGCAGGAATCATTCAATAACCCTGGAGCTCAGGAGCTGGGACTGTGAGTATTCTCATTCATCCAACGCTGAGTCTGCCCTAACATCAGAAAGACTGAATGCGATCCAGAACGTGGGCCAGCTCCTCGCACTTCCCTTCTGCGCCTGGTTCTGCGATCGCTTCGGACGCAAACCCGCCCTCCTAGTCAGTGCCTCAATCCTCCTTATCGGTGTCGCCCTCCAAGGCGCAGCCCAGAACGTCGCCATGTTCATCGTTGCTCGCGGTGTTCTCGGCTTTGGCCTCGCGCTCAATATCACCGCCGCGCCTCTTATGATCATGGAGCTCGCGTACCCGTCCCAGCGAGCGCCGCTAGTATCCATCTACAATTCTCTCTGGGGATTGGGAGCTTTGAGCGCCGCGTGGATTACCTTTGGTACATTTCGAATCGGGAATACGTGGGCTTGGAGGATTCCTTCGATCTTGCAGGGACTTTCGAGCGCGGTGCAGCTCGGGTTGTGCTTCTTTATCGAAGAGTCTCCGAGATGGCTCATCTCAAAAGAGAGGGATGCGGAAGCCGAGAGGCTGTTGGTGAAGTACCACGCCAACGGCGATGCTTCTGACCTCATCGTTCCATTGGAGATGGAGGAAATCAGGACGGCACTGAGGTTGGAGGCGGAAGCATCGCGGACTACGTCGTACATGGCTTTCTTCCAGACACCAGGTAACCGGCGCCGTTTTTTCATCATTCTTGCTGTCGGTTTCTTCTCACAGTGGTAAGTCATACGCTTTGCTACCTCGCCTATTCTTCACCATCTAAGTCTATCTTGATAGGAGCGGCAACGGTCTGATCAGCTACTACCTGACCTTGATTCTCAACTCGATCGGGTATACCTCCCAAGACACGCAGACGCTAATAAACGCCCTCATCACTCTGTGGGGATTATTCTGGGGTCTCCTCGCCTCCGTTCTCGTCAACCGTTTCCGCCGCCGAACGATGTTTCTCGCTTCGACTATCGGATCCCTCGTGTGCTACGTCATCTGGACAGCACTTCAAGCAACATATGAAAAGCAAACCGACCTCACTGGCGCAGGATCCCCGGGCCTCGCAAAGGGTGTCTTGGCCATGATCTTCTTGTACAACGTCACGTTCACCGTGGGATGGGGCGCGCTCCAGGTCACCTACGTCGTGGAGATTCTGCCCTTCAACTTGCGTGCCAAAGGCTTGGTTCTTTACAACTTGTTCGTGGCACTGGCGTTGATTTTTAACCAGTACGCCAACCCGATTGGCGTGACGAACTCAAAGTGGAAGTACTACATCACGTATGATGTGTGGCTGGCTTTTGAGGCTGTGGTGGTGTATTTCCTGTTTGTGGAAACAGGAAAGATGAGCCTGGAAGAGACTGCAGTCATTCTTGATGGCAACGAGGATAGACTGACCGAAGAGGTGGCTCGGAAGACGGAGAAACTTGCGTTGGAAACACATGCGCATGTTGTAGAGGACAATAACCATGAGTGAGCGGATTGGAGCCGCTGGAAGCAGTCACATACCTCGACAGGATGTCCAAATATTCTCATACCTGGATACCTATTACTTAGGTTGCATAATTCAGCGTGGATACGCTTAAGTGTTGGTAGTGAGAACTTGACCCTGAATGAATTAATCTGCACAAAATCACAAGTTACTGAATCAAGATCCAGTTGCTCTTTTGACTGAGTTGAACTTATATTCTACGGTATTCAATGGTACTGACGAATGCCCTTCGAAGGCACATCTGCACCGAATGCCGAAGCTTGGTTCATCAGCAATGATAATGACTTTTTCATTAATGCTCAGGCATGCCTACAACTATCTAATCAACATGCCGCTGGGCTACCACGAGACGGATATCATCCACAACTCTTTCAACCGGGAGGCCAGTTTGAAGGGGCCTCCGCTAAACGCGTCGGTGTCAATCACAATGCAAGCGTACGTGACGAATCTTGAATTGATTGGCTGCCCAAACGGCGTGAGCCTTCCATTTATGGTTGAAATGCAACTTACATGTCAATCTATGACGGACTCCCTGTTTCACATAGCGATGCAATAGACAGATTCTCTTTGTGGCAACAGGCGGACTGCAGATGTCAACCAGCCGCCTACGAGACTGACATGACCCCCTCACATATCAAGCAAAAACACTATAGACAGATCATAAGTATAGACTTTCGATTTATCTATCAAGCGGTTTGTAAAGCATTGGCATCTAAACACAAAGTTATCCACTATTGCTATACCCCGTCAGCAACGAATCTAAGCCCATGCTGGAATACACCCCAACTCTCTTTGCCTAGCCTTCACTCTTACTTACGCCACCTCATGTCTATTTATTCCGAAATCTTTGTCCCTCCAATAAGATGTCTGATTTGACACCGTGTAGTCGCAAGTCCGCTTTGAAATCGAATCCCTCTGGACTCCATGTTTTGTCAACATGACCGATTCGACCAGACCAAAGTTGGCACGATGGGATTCAATGACCACTAATTTACGCACGTAAGTTACTTCGCTGAGGAACTGGGCCAAAGAGAGAATAATATCATGCGGCAGCATAAAAACGGTCGTCGCCGAGAGCAAGTTACAGATTCTGTCCAAGCTTGCCGGAGCCTCCATGTCGGGGTGGCCGGCCCCGCACGTGGGACTCAGAACATGAAACACCTGGGTGATGGAGCATGGCCGTCTAGCCGCCAAAGGCTCTGGTTTGTGCCAGGCGAACTAAGATACACGTACTTGATCAAGCTCTCTATCAAAATTCTGCACTGGTGGATGTGGTGATGAAAGTCATCAATTGACACTTTGGCGAATACTTTAATATGGTTGTCGCCTCGGTGGAGAATGTCCTTCGGCAAACGATGCTTCAATTTGGCACGGAAGTCAAAGTCAGAAAGTCCGCTTGTTCCAAAGTCTCGGCTATATTGCAGTTGTCACATCATCACCTTTCTCGACCTTTATTCATAAGATTAGAGTTCAAATAACTCCACTTTCCAGGCTGTACCAAGGACGTCTCTGACGATTGCTGGCGGCCTCGGGATGCAAAGCACAGCTTGCCAGCGCCTTGCCAAGAGTGCCGCCGAGTGAACGACTCTACTCAAGTGGATCGTCCGACGCCCGCTGTCAAGTATGAGAAAACTTGGGTACCGGTGCCCTTCCAGTTGCTTCAGACTTTATTTTAGTAACGAAGACAGTATGCATTGGCCCGCAGCTCGAAAGTCAGTTTTGCATCAGCAGGGCAGCTCCTGTTTCGTGTTAGCAGCACCGGCTTCTAGAAGGAGTCTCTGGCTGCTCTGGCTGCAAGGTTCGAGTCAGTCAATGCTGTGCTTGGTGATGCACCCAGCCAGCTGCGCCCAAGTCTTACGACATCGAGAACGTGAAGTGCAATGTAGGTAATGCAGCAAACCGAAGACCCATCCGATAACAAATCGGTTCATGTGGGATAAATACCCCAGGCCCGGCCTAAATAGTTTCTCGAGTCTCGACTTTCTCAAGCAGCCAAACACCACCTCCCACTTTGATACAGAGACAAACATTCTCTTCCGAACCCAGCATTCGAATTGCATCTTTATCTTTCAACAATCGATTCGAGCGTTCAATATGAAGTCATCCGTCCTTACAATGACCGTGGCCTTCTTGGGGCAAGTACACTCGCTGTGTATTTTGAAAAAATGCACATATTAACCGACTTACAGTGCAGCAGTCTCCCAAGAGATCTTCCGTTGCCGTTGCGCGAGTGCAAGCAATTTTGACGTAAGCCTGGAAGGTATCTCAAGCCTGTGTACCTCCAAGGGCGGAGAGATTGAGAGCGCAGGCTTGTGCGTCAAGGTGCCCTCCAGATTTACAAACGACGAGTGCACAAAGGTCGAAGCCGGGGCCAAGGGCGACTGTATCGTCGACACCACCTCCGGCGGGTCCACCAGCTCCGTGTCGTCGCCCGCCGCTACGGCACAAGCTACTGCGAAGCCTAGAGCCGTCGATCCTCAAGCTTGGGTGGCCTAGATGGTTAAGAGGACGAGTTGTTGCCGATGAGGGCTTGCAGGGTATATCTACTATCCTGTCAAATGTCGCCCGACTCTTTGAACTTAGTAGCGCTTACTTAAGATACCACTATAAATCAGTCTTGATTTTACCCACCTCCACGAGACTTGATGTACTACCGTGTTTACGATGTTCGATGGCACCACGCCTTAGGTCATGTGAAACTGCTTGCTGGGGATTGTTCCGTGGTCCCTGGTGCTGTGTGTTGAATACTTGAGTCGGCATTCACGCCGTTGGAAGCTGTGCACAGGCCAGCGATCATGATGGAATAAGAGCAAGGAAAAATGATGAAAGTCTACAAACAAGATAGTTCAAGGGTTCACTTCGTCTTTACGGTGGACAGTTGTTTGGTTCTCAGTCAGGTATTACGGCAAATCGGCAAGTGGGCATGTGAAATTGGGCCCGAACTGTCCGAAAGCGCAGCTACTGAAGCGCCGAATACTCCGACCCAGTGACGTCAAACGGTTCCGAGTGTCGGACGACGGCGGGAGTTCAATAGACCCCTCACTTCATCAGTTGGCTTCACTGACCAAGGGAAATTCGGACTACAACCTGACTTTGGTTATAAATTGCCAAGAAGTAAACTACATAGACTCACTGAACTTTCGATCTTCGGGTAACCTTTCACGCTTAGAGTTCATTGAGCATTTTTTCGACTTTCACAACCTTGTTTACAATGTTTTACCAGCCCGGTGTTGATGATCACGGTTTACCATATGATCCATTTAAAGTGAGTTGCCCATCGCATCCCAAAAGACGCTATCGACTTTCCCGCTGAACATACGTGTCTAGGCATGCGTAGTACCTCGTGCGATTGGATGGATCTCATCCGTCTCACCCGAAGGCGAGCACAACCTAGCCCCCTACAGCCAGTTCACAAACGTCAGCTTTGACCCGCCCATGGTCATGTTCAGCGCGAACCAAACGTACGCTGAAGACCGAAAAGATACCGTCAACAACATTGAGCGTACCGGAAGCTTCTGCTGGCAGCTCGCAACGCACCCCCTCCGGGAGAGCGTCAACATCTCGGCGGAAGCCATCGGCCCCAACGAGGACGAGTTTGAGAGAGCTGGCCTAAAGAAGACTTGGTCAAAGAGTCTGAAGACGTCCGTACCCATGGTTGCCGATTCGCCTGTCCGCTTCGAGTGCGAGTATATGCAGACAGTGCGCCTTCCCGGGAAACCGCCAATGGGAACTGTCGATGTTATTTTTGGCAAAGTTGTCGGCGTTCATATTGATGACAGCGTCTTGACGGATGGGAGGATTGATGTCTCCAAGACGAATCCAATTGCCCGACTAGGGTACTTCGAGTACGGTATCATAAACGATCGCTTCGAGATGATTGTACCTGGAGATAAGCGCATGCTCATTGGGGTAAGTTAAGTGCCTTTCAAGACTCACAAAGTTACGAGCGAGGTGATTTATTGACTTCTGACTTTCTTATTCAGCTCGAGGGTAACGCAAGTAATCACACCAAAGACAATCTCAAAGGAGCTTCGGGTGCGGATGCATCCACCTGAAAGAGTAAATACGAGATTCAGATTGCCTCCATATAATATTAAAGACCCAAAGAACCTCTCAAGATGGACTATGGGATTCTGTCCGAGGATTATCGGCTGCTTCGTGTTTGAGTATCTTCAAATGTACCAAGCAGTTACCGAAAGCAAAGTGTTCGTGGACTTGAACTGCATTGTTGTCAAGCTCAGAATTCTAGATATCAACAAGCTTGTGTTCAGACTCCAAGAATATAATAGATGATGCCGTCTGGTGTTGACAACAAGCTCTCAACTAAATTTGGTGACTATATTTGGGATATCTTCAAAACGTTCGACATGGAGTTGACTACTTTGATTTATTGCTACAGAATATCCCAGATGGACTTAATGAGCCACCGATACAACTATCGAGGTATGCGGAATACGTCAATATCTTATGTTATCTGACTGGCGATCCAGATTTCAGTTGTCTTTCACCACTTATGAATCTTCTTTACGTTTGTTTTGTTCCCAAGCGATCGAAGTGTACAAGTTTCGTTCTATTCTACTTGCACCATACTAGGTAAATCATATGGTCACGCAGCCTTTTCAATATCGAATTTGCTCGAAACTTGCTCATCACTTCAAATTTTGTTTACTTCGGCCGGGATCAGTAATCGAGATCTAGAGTGAATGCCTGCAATCCGACGCTGGGGGCCCAGTCAAAGGCGCGACACGCATGCAAGCTTATCTTGTAAGGCTAAAAAGAGGTTGCCAGAAGTGTGCTCTGACCCGATTCTCTGGATAGGGCGGCTTCCTTTATTGTAATCCCAGTAGTCTGGCAGGTTGCAGAATGCGGATAGAGCGCAGCGCTATTCACAGCGCCCTAGACATGGGGTTGCCAACTAAAAGAAATTTCCTATCTTCCGCCGCGATACTCAAGAACTCTCCTCAGGCGCATTTTCAAGCTTTGCACGTGGTCGCGTTTCTCGTAGAATAGGCGCATTGTGTAAAGGAATGAATTGCCGATTATACTCAAAAGAATGAGCCTCGCGCACGGAGAAACGAGCTCCAGTTGAGACCATAGTCAATTCAGCGACTCGAATTCTTCAGGCATTGAGAATGTATCTTTGGCTTCGTGGTCACTGAAGCATTTTTCACCCGGTGGGATCTATCGTCGCATTGCATACAGCGACTGGGGGGGGCCGTCTGGTTAGCCGGCATGTGGGAGGTTATCGGTTTGCTCCCAGAGTCCCAGACATCAGCCTGCCCGATTAGGCAGTGCAACCCACCAGTACCGCAGGTTACATGCACCTTATTCTCTACCTTAGCTTCAGAAACGAACAGTTGATCCGGGATCCGAGAGTCTTGCAGAGCCTCATGGACGACATTATGAAGCTTGGGAGCTTTCAACCCAAACACAAGGTCGTGATGACTTCAACTTCTTGCACAGCAACATGCTGACACTGTAATATCTGTGCCAAGCCGGTGTCAATACGAACCCAGTCCCTATCGGCCCCACAGAGCCTGTTGCTTGGCAACCTGGAAATGGACCTCGTCAAATGGGGCCTCGAGGATCGATGGAGTCTTCACATGCCACGCATGGACGCACTATGTGGTTCTCGAATTCAACCCACCGGGCCGTTGTGGTTCTGTACTCTAACATAAACTACGCTGACATCAAAAAGGCAGAACAGACGATCTAGCTGCATAACGGTCCCAGTGAACAAGTGGAAAAATCGAATCCGAACACGACACCTCCGCCCTCCGCGAGACTACCCGCGGGAAGATGTCCCAGAAGCTCTCTTCGCATGGCCTAACTTTGTGATGCCATATCAGCGAAGTTTGAGCGAATGCCCCTTAGCGCGGCTACGTGGTTTATCTCCTTCCTATTTCCCTCCACCGTACCGGCCTGGCCCCAGAATATCTGCGATGCCTGCGCAGTGCCGAGAAATATCAGGGGAAGCTATGGCCGGGACGGAAAACATCCACCGCTGGTTCCAAGACGGACATGCGGCATGCCGTCATCTCTCGTTTGCCCCTCACGTTCTTCTCAAGCCTCATCAATGTCTCTGCCGGTGCCGCCGCCCACGGCCCGCACGGGGGGATTGCTAACCCGGAATCTCACGAGAAGACCAAGAGAGGAAGACAGAGATACGTTGCACGGACGAGACAGAGGCAGATATCCTGCTTGCTCTTGCTGAATATGAAGCCTGCCATTGAGTATGATTACGCGAGTCACGCGATCGGGCGGCACCGAGCCCATCCGGCCTTTTCCCCTCCCTCCTTCTCTCGCTGCCCCCAGATTCCTCGATCCCTCAGCCACTCGACTTCACTATCATCCCCGAGAGGCCCCGTCCAGACGCGCCCCTCTTCCTTCGCTTGAATTAGTCAAACGTTAAACGGCAGTTGACCCCAGTCAACGAAGCAAGCCGAGCTTCCTAGTTGCGGCTCTTGGCGAAGACTCCGCAGCGTGGATCGACTATCAGGACAGGGGAAGTCGGGCGCTATTCGCTTCTAACTGGCGCGCTCTTGGGCGGAGCATCCAGTGGCATCAGTGAAGCTGGCATGGCCACTGTCATCGCCGCACGTATTGAACAGCCTGAATGAGAAATCCGAGCGCATTTCCCCACAAGCCAGCACGGAAAAGCACCGCCTTCGCACGCGCCAATTTCCAAATGGGAGGACACCTTCATCAACAGGCTTGATGATCATTTCAGGAAGCTGGCTGCCAACGCAGACGTGGGATGAACGCATCGTCTTACTCGCCTCAAGGTTACTCACCAATCTAGATGTTTGCATGTCGGTTTTCATCTTCCGACGTCGAATCCAGAATGCGAACCCACACGATCGATAGGAATACGAGGTTGTGGGAAAAGGCAATATGTCATTTCTTGGTGTCTTCACTCAACACAGAAGGCCGCAGCTGCAGAGTTGCGCCAGAGTCCATGTCCTCCTCGAATGTAACAGCGCTTACCCGCATATTCTGCCCCAGACCATTCACCCACCATCACGCATGGTCCTGTACCTGAACCTCGCTGATCAAAGACCGCATCGGGGCAGCTTTCTAGTTTAGACCGCGATGCCAGTGCTCTTTGGCCGGCAATTGGGCCATATGGGGATCTCCCGCCTCCAGATAGTCTATTGCAAGACCCCCTCTATGGTCGGAAATCAGGACGGATGTGGCAGGCGGGAAGAGGTTAGGGCGCGTGTGGAGTTTGCGTAGCTTTTTAATTAAGTCCTGGTCAGTTCGTAATCCCTACATCGGGTGGCCCAACCAATGTCAACACGCGACCTTCCACATTAAGCATAAGTTGAACTAATATGGCTCCTCTGTTAAGGTAACCTCCGACGGTCTTGGTAAACAACTCCCAAGCAAATCAAGAGCCGGAAACCCTTTCCAATGTCTCATTCAATGGTAAGTCAGCTCGAGTCAATTCATGCCTCCAGCCAACCACAATTCTGCCTCCGCGGGGCTAGTGGTGG